AGCTGAGAGGGGACGCCAGTTCTAGTGAGTGAATGTCACCCAGCAGGGACATAAAGCTGTCAGCACCACGGGGCTCTTGCCTGTCTAAACTCTCTCCCAGCCTTCATATGGTTTTTAAAGAGATATTAGCCTTTTTTTCCCTCGAGGACCCTCTACAAAAGCTGACTGCCATATACATCTGAGCACTTCTACCTCACTACATACACACTTTGAAAAACACAACATACATCAGAACAGCAACATCCACCCGATAGAACAAAAGTGGTGTCGCTGCTAATGGGCTTCTAAGGCTGACCACATTGTAAACAAGGCACTGAGTTTCTTCTTAAGAGACAACTTTAGGGCCTGGGAGGGAACACCCCCCCCCCCACATACACCTCAACTGGTTCAAACCAGACACTACGAGAATGCTCCCCCTTTCTGTATGAATATCTAAGTCTCATCAAAAATCCTAACAAGTTCCCACTCTTTAAAAAGGAGAACAGCAACAGAATTTATTCTTGCAGCCAACCAAAAACATTTATCTGGCCCTGCTTATCAAAAGCGGAGGGATAAATTGCTGTTTTACTGAGCAACCAATTAACGTAATGATTTCCCCTATTTCTGTGAGAAGAACAATTTTCAGGGCGAACTCTAGAGAAACAAGGCATGTGCCCCCCAATACTGAGCTCTGTGTACATATGCCCATCTTCATGGCCTGGACAGAGTGCGACAGACCCGAAAATGATAATAAATGACTCATAAAATATAAATATTTTTGTGGTTATTTATGTTTGCTTTATAAAGAAAATTCAACAAAATATATAGGACGGTAGAAAAACAATCTAATTTATATTTATCCTATGTTAAAAGAAAGAAGTTTTAATTAGGAAGTATTTCTAACTAGAAATATACTTTGAACATTTTTTAAATTTGGAATATACATTTTGAAAAGGCTTGGCTTTCCTCCAGTCTATATATGATTATAGGTTTTAAAGAAATAAAATTATTAACATTTTAGTATACATATGGAAACTTTATAAACTGAAGCCAACAAAATAATTATTAACGTTCAATAAAAAAGCTTCTCACTGCAAAATTTTATATTCTAAGTTGTTATATTTTGAAGGTCCCTAAATTAATTTATTTCCAAAGGATCTCTAATGCTATAGAGAATTGAGCTTTCTTTGAAAGATTTTTAAAAGTCCACCATATGCAAATACACCACATACACTGTTGCTATTAAGTACTAAAAATGTTATGTGTTAAGGTAAAATGCTGCCATTTCACTTCCAGCTTAGGAGGCATCTAATAGGACCCTCACTATTTCTAAATTTTTAAGTGGAGCCTCCAAGATGGTGACTAGAAGTTTACTGAAATAAATCTATTATTCTTCACAAAGGCAATAATTTTAGTGTGTATCAAATTTAGAGCCCGTGGTCAAATGCAACTATAATTTCAGAAAATCTGCAAAGGAACTACCATTCCACACTGAAGGTACCCTGACCAACAAAGACAGTTTCTTTCATAGTTCAATATGACATGAAAGAAACTTTGTTAAAGGCCAGCATGATTTCTAACAGTTACATTCTAAACTGTGGAGAGACCTCAGAAAACTCAGAATGTGCAGTGAAGTAACAAAAAGAGACAGAAATTTTAGGTCCAAGATTTTTTTCTTATATAAAAAGAGACTTTCAGAATACACTTTCTCCAAGGATTTCCAAAGCTGTTTGCACCAGACAGAAGCAACATGTACAGCATCCCAAGCTTGGTCCTACGTATCTGTGATATATTTCTCTCCATTATGTGCATAGAGGTGATTATACAACAAGGCTCAATGAATTCATGAACCCCACTTTTGAAAAATGAGTCACAGAGCAATCTGGGCTCCTTTCTTTCCTTCTTTCTTTCTTTCTTTCTTTCTTTCTTTCTTGTCTCATTAAAAGTATATTTTCATATCTCTAAATGGGACTTTATAGAAGCCAGCTCATGCTTTCAAAACTTTAAAAGTTGAGAGGAAGGCTCCTTCTCAAGAGAAATGTCCAATTAAAAGAATTAAGGAACGCCATTCTAATGTCTACCTACCACAAAACATAGTAAAATAATTAAAAACAGAGAAGTGTCATCTTGCTAGGTACATGGAAATGTTTCAAACTATATACTCCAAAATTCAATGTACACCACATACACGGGGAGGTGGGACCTTATCACCAAGCTTTACCATGGATTTCTATCACTTTATGCTGGTCAACATAAAGAATTACATTAACATATTGCTGCTGAAAACATCTGGGGTAAAGGGGAATCTTGGGCACAATAAAATTAAAGGAATGATTTATTCCAAACAAAAAAGTCTGAAAGCCATATAAAATTGTATATTTCATATTTAAGAGACAGCTAGTTAAATGGCCTGCAACCCAAAAAATATTTCAGTACTTAAATTTTTCTTTGGTCTTATTTTGTAAGATTACTTTACTAACCACTTTTAAGGAAAGTATTTGTAGAAGTAATGAAAACATCAAAAGACTGTCTCTAAATGATACTTAAATCTGGGTGGGGAGCAGCAGGCAGCAAATAAAGCGGCTTGCTATTTTTCTCCCAATTCTCTAATTCCTTACAAAGTTATAAATGCCTGTGTCTAAACTCTGCAGACAACTTCAGCATCAAATCCGCTAAGAACATAATGGATTCACGGTTGATTCTTCGTTTTCCCTAGAACGTATTTTTCTCTCAGCACTGTCCTGGCTACAGAACACCAAAACCACTTGTCCCTGCTCTAGCCTGATGCTCCCTCCCTGCCCTACTAAAAATCAAGGCTTAGAAGCTTCAGCCCTACAACAGATCCAAGGCAAGGGAGTTAAACACGAAAGAGCTCTCTAGGAAAAGCTAGAAACAGTTAGCTGGCTGTGACACAGACCTGCCAACACCTCGGCACACGGTGGCAAAGTGCCCAAAAAATGCCACCCTCTGGGTAAACCACTTTCTTGTTTTAACTCGAGATGAAGCTACTACCAGTTGCGGAGAGGCGACTAGGGCATTATTTGGCAACCTGGATTTGACTTCCTGTAATCCTACACCGAAACAGCGCCTAATCAACCTGAACCCTGACACCTAGGCCATTATCACTCGGCCTCCGGCTGCGCGCACCTCCCAGCTCCAGGCTGTTACCTCCCACGGCCTTGGCCACCGCGCCGTTGGGCCTCCCGCGGGCTCCCATGGGGCTGCCGTTCTGCTCCAGCCGGGCCACCTTCACCGGGGGAGGCCCCTTGACATCGGGGCTGCCGCTCCTTCGGTCGGGGCTGTCCCGCAGACACGGGCTCTCGCTCCGCCGCTCCATGCTGCTCCGATTTGGAGACAAAGTTCCCACCGGCAGGTCGCAATAAAACGCGCAGGGACCTAGGGAGGGGGCGGAGGGGAGGGAAGGGGGAGGGAAAAAAAAAGAGGGAAAACCGCTCACACACGTGATAGACGATCAGGCCAGTGGCAGAGCGCTGCACAGCAGCCACACAAACTTCCTCCCACGCTTCAGAAGGGTCCCGAAGGGTCCCGGGGTAGCGGGTCCCAGTCGTGCACTGGAGGCCTCAAAGCTGCCTGGAACTTGAGGTGCTGAGACCTGCTCTGCCGCAGGTCCCCAGAGTTAGCCCTCAATGGCATGGACTGAGCTCACAGCACTTAGTGCTCCATTCATAGCGGGCAGCGCCGGCACTAGCCCTTCTCTGATGGAGAGCCCCCCGCCCCCCACTTGGGAGGGGGGGTCGGGGTTTTGAAATGAGAGTACTTCAGAGCAAGAGGTCCCCACCCGGCCTGGGAGGGAGCCAGGGCATACACGGATCCTTAAGCAAATAAATTGCTAGATAAATGTGCTGTGAATGGCCAGGCAGGAGCCAAAGACTTGATCAATAGATCCATGGAATCCCCGCTTTTTACCTTTATGGATCAAGTACACTAGTACACTTGTGTACGCACACATACACACACACACCCTTTGCACAAAAAAATTAACTATAATTCCACGGGAATGAGCATCCCAAACATTTTGAGGTTTGTAGAGGCTATCCTCCATCACAAGATTACAATTATTATTTCGGAGAATTCTTATCTTCATCTGATCCTGAGTGCTTTTTTAAAAGCCAATAAGCATTAAAACGTAAGAAAAAGAAATTTAGATCGTTGGGTGCAGGAGCAGCCCCCATTAATCCTAATTTCTAAATCTGGGAAGTTTTTCTCGGGGGTCCTTAAGCGCGCAGCGCTCCACGCAGTTCTCCGCACTCTTCAATTTTTGAGGAGTGACCCGGAAGAAGGGAAAACACCTGATGAAACAGCGCCCGAATTGTCACTGGCACCCGCGAGAGGAAGCCCCGAATACACCTGGGGCGCTGAGAATCCTCCGGGGCGCTTCGGACGCTGGAGAAGCCTAGTCGCCACGGGTACCGAAGAGACGAGGTGGGGGTGACAGAGAGGGGAAGGAAGAATGCAAGAGAGGTAGGGAGTGCGCCGACGGGTAGCGAGAGAGGGTTCCACGGCACTCCCCGGCTTCGCCTAGGGACGCGTGAGAGCCGGAGCCGCGATCAGCCGGGGAACTTGGCGCGCCCCGGGCTTCCGAACTCCGGGCGCGGCGCGGGAGCCCTCGCCCCAGCGTACTTACTGCTCACGGTCTGTCTGAAACTTGGCTGGCTGGGGCTCTGTCCATGGAGCAAAAGTAGAGAATCCAGGGTGGAAAGTTTCTGGTGATCTGCAGTTTTGTCCTAGTCTTCCTTTCTCTTTCCTCTTTCCCCTTTCCTTTTCCTCTTCCCCGGGTCCTAGTGTTTAAGGTCCTGGGTCAGGGTGTCTTCTGTTCCGAGATGGTTGTTATGATGATGGGGGGTGGGGGTGGGGGGATGAGGGAGGAGGAGGAGGAGAGGGAAAGGAGGACTCCTCCTAAGGGGCACCCGAGCGAGCGGGGGAGGGGACGGCAGAGGAGGGGGAGAGAGGGGGCTGAAAGAGCCTTTCACACCTTCGGGAAGGAGACCGGTTCTGGAGAGGAGAAAGGGCTGAGGACTGGGAGGCTGCGGCGGCTGCCGGCTCGTACCGCCGCTAGCTCGAGAGGAGGCGCGGCCGGAGCCGCGGGGACCGTGCCACCAAGAACGGAGAAGGCGCGGAGACCCCCGGACCGCGCGCACAGAGAAAAACGCGGCGGCCGCCCAAGCTGTCACCTCCAACCTCTCCCCTCGCGGCCGCCTCTGCCAGAAGCCAGAGCCGGACTCACTGACAAGCCGCAGAGAGAGACACACTGAGAGGGAGATGATTATTAGTTGCGTTGAGTCATCAGGCAAAGTGAGTCCTTTTGGGTTGTCCTCGGTTTCCGATTTCTCCCCCCCTCCCCCTTTCGGTCCCCAGATCTAGCGCCTTCAAAATAATAATTTGGGGTGGGGGTAGGGGAAGTCTCTGGGTTATTTCGGGATGGGAATGGGGGGGACGGATCTAAACCCAAGCCAGACTGGTCCACCGCAATGAAGGAGGGGAGTGGGGGGCGGGGAGGAGGGCTGGGGAGGTTGCGGGGGGAGGGGGGGCCCCGCCTGGCAGGAAATTAAACATCAATCAATCAATCGCTGAGAGCACGGCGACCCAAAGAGCCGGGCTGCGGAGGAGGCATAGGGATAGGCGAGGGGGTGGGAGGCAGGGAGAAAGGAGGAGGAAGGGGAGAGTCGGCGGTGGGAGCGGGGTGGCAAGGACCTCATGCACCGGGCGATGAAGGACGGATGGCTGAGGACTGAGTGCGGCGCGAGGCGGTGGCCACGGCCGGCGGATGGGTGCGTCTGGGCGCGGACGAACGCCAGGGCCCAGGGTCTGGTCCTCCTCCTTGTGGCAAGTCCAGGGAGCAGCCGCCTCGCCCAGCCCCGAGGCGCACTCGTCCCGGCGCGCAGGCTGCGGCGACCAGGCAGGCGCTCGGTGTCGCGGCTCGCCGCAGGGGCGCAGACTGGCGCGCGGGAGGCGGCAGCGGCAGCCTCGTCTCCCGGCTCTGCTAACTGCGCCCGAGTACTTTCGACTTTGGAGATAGGAGGGCGATCGCCTCCCCCACCCACCGCCTCCGCCCACCACCCACCGCCTCCGCCCCTCGGAGCAACTTTTCTCGGTGCGGGCGAGCTCCCCATCAGCTCCGAGCCGGCCGGCCGGCCGGGCCCGCTGCGCTCCTGGCCGCGCGTAGTGTGGCTGGCGGGGAGAAGGCCGCTTGCTTCTCCCGGAGATCGGGCGCGGCCGCGGGTCCGAAACAATAGCCCGGGTGTCCCGAACGCCTGGAGCGAGCCACCGCCCGCCGGGCTGCGGGTGGCACTGGAGCGAGGGTGGCTCGGTGGGCGCGGGGCGGGATGCATCCCTGCCACTCTGGCCACGCGGGCGGCGACGCGAGCCGCACCGCTCGGGCCGCCCGGAGGCTAGGACGCGGCGCCGGCCCGGGGCGCCCTCGGGTTGCGGCACTGGGGCTCCCGAAGACCACCGAGTCCGGGCGCCAGCAGAGGCCGAGCCGAGCCGCGGGGACCCAGGCTGTCCCCCACGAGCGAGGCGGCGCCGGCGCGTCCCCAAGCCAGTCCCTTTAGGGCTCGGGAGCTGCAAACTTTTTGCCGACTCCCGCGGCCCTCGCCTCCCGGCTCCCGCCGCGGTGCTCGTTTTAAGGTGGCGCGAGCCCTGGCCGCCCCAGCCCGGCTCGCGGCCGCGCTTTTGTCCTGGCCGTCCGGCTGGGGCGCGGACCTCCTTAAGAATAAGCACGTGGGCAGGGGCCGCGGCCCCGGCGAAGCGCCGGCCAGCGCCGGGGCGCCCGTCCGCCGCTGGGACCTCCGAGGGCGAAAATATGAATCAGTCCTCGCCGGCCTTCGGGCCAGGGAAGCCCCTTGAACCGGCGGCGCCTCCCGTCCCTCCTGGGCACCGGGGTCTCCCTTCTGTTCCCCAGGACCCCAAGGACTCGGCTTCCACGGGTTGCCAGAGCCACTAGTCCCCCTTAAGAAGCGTTGACTGTACGGCGGCGCCAGAGGGCCAAACTAAATTCGGTTTCGGGAAAACGCGCTCGGGGCAATTCTCTCAATCCCGGCCTTGAGCTGGGCCAGTGGCGGTGGCTCTGGCGCATAGTGCTGGAGACCCGGCTGCTTGCGGTCCAGTCGCTTTGTCACCTCGCTTTCCCCCCCCAACTCCCCCTCCCCGCCACCATGCCCCCAAGGGCCCCAAGCTCATGGCCAGCGAGGCCTGAGGGCTTCTGAAAGAAAAAGGGGTCCCCAAAACGAAACCTGTCCCCGGCCTAGATCTGGGTGCCCAGGACCCGCTCAGTTCCACTCCCAGGAGCCGCCCACCAACTTCACCCGAAGCCCCAGGCGACTGGGGAGCTGAGCCACGCAGAGGTGGGCCAGCAGGGTAGGAATCCTCCGCCGAGACGCCGCAGTTTTAGGACGCCTCTTTCTTTGCCCTGATTTTTTCTTCCTCAAATTCCGTGCCCCACCAACATACCCAACCAAAGGGGCTAGAGAAAATTCGAAGCCCGTGAAAGCGAAGTGACTCAAGTAAATAAGCCAGTGAAGGTAGCTAAAAGGGTTTGGGAAGCAAAGAACTGTAAGTTTGATCGACAAACTTAAAAAAAAAAATCTGTAATAGCATATCGAAATGAGAAAGGGGTGTTTCAAAAACTCAACTATCACTGTCAAACTTAGCCTGTTTTTAAAATGAGAAATGCATGTATCTTATTTATATATTAACAACAGTAAGTCCCCCGTTTCCTTTCTTACCTTGGTGTTGAAACTGCGGGATGCACCTCTGGCCCAAACTAAGAAGAATTGATGATATTAGGACTTCAATACTTCTGGGGGAAAAAAATGCAAATCGTTTAGTGGGGATCTTTTTTGTCTGATTCGTCAGTATTATTATATCTGATGATGTGAATGGTTGGAACGATTCTATCCTAAGTCATTAATGAGCTATTTTATAAAAATCACAGTCGGAAAAATCTTCCTTTGCATTTTCCTAGGATCACATCGCTAACCTTGTGTCAACAGCATGATTATGGACTTCAGCTACACTCTTATAAACAACACAGCGGTATTGTTAATCGGTTAATATTTTATAAAGTGTAAATATTTTATTATGCTTTGAAGGGAACTATTGATTCTAAATTATTAAAAACCCCTAGAAAGTCTATTTAAATAAAGTATACAATTAAGTACAATTAAATGTGCATTGTGGCTAAATTCTGCACCCTTTCAAATTCATTATTTCTCTTGTCTATTTTTGATAATGAAAAGAAAATCTACCATTTGGGACAAAAAAAGTCTAAGTTATTTTAAATTACATTTCAAAAAATAAATAAATTACATTTAATATACATAAAAATGTCAAATTCGATGTTATTACCAAAATGGTACTTTGAATGTTGGCAGATTTATTTTTAGTAGGGCATTTTTCAAATTTATCTCGTTTAGCAAAAGGAGAATTCTAGAAAGTTTTGCCAAGTCTGCCCAGTGTGAATTTTTTCCTTTAGTTTTGTCCCTAATAAAGGCCTTTTCTGTTTCAAGTTCCATGTGCTTTTCCCAGCCGTTGACTCATTTCAACTAAAGCAATTACTTCAAACACTTCTAATCCCTCCAGTAAGATATATCTTAAATAATACTTTCACAACTTCTGTTATGATTTTCATTTTAAAAAACAGTTAATAAATATATTCGATGATGATTCAAAAAATTGTTTGGTTTCATTTTGTATTCCCTATGACGGTTTAGTTCCAAACATTTTTTGAAACAAATCACACTTTTTAAAAATGGTATAAGTACATTGGTCTTTTTAAATAAGTAATCCAAAACTTACACACACACACCGCATTAGGAAACAGTTGCCCCCATGCTCAGAACGCGAAGTTGGGGGGTGGGGTATGTTTCCTCCGTTTGCTGCTGACCTACATTTTTTTGAGGGTGATCTACACAGACTTTTCTAGGATTCTGCGGGCCCTATTTTTTTCTCTTATGTTATGTAGTCAAAGGTCGCGTCTTTCACAGCCACACTGTTATTTTTATTTATTTATTTTAAGCAACAACAACAAAAACAACGAAACTTCTTAGGCTCGGTAAATGCGCATAGTTTTCCTTTCCAGACTGGTTTTCTTTCTTCCCAGGCCTAAGTCCTCTTACAGCCTGCACTTTTAATGAAAATATTGTTTGATTTCTCCTTGTCGCCCCTGAGCTTTTGGCCTTGCGGGTCCTCCGCCCAGATCAACCTTGGGTGGTGTGCTGGCTGTGGACCACCTAGGCCCGACTGCCCTGGTAGGACCTAGTGCCAAGCTCACCACACTTCAGCGTTCAAACTTTCGGGTTCTGGAAGGCCCGGCATTCACCCCCTGCCTCTCTGGCTCTCAAGTTTGGTCACCCAGGCAAAGAAGCCTTTCCAGAGGTGCGCTGCCTCTTTTTGAGCACTTGAAAGTTGGTGCTGATTTTTTTTTTCCACCCCAGGACACTCATTCAAAACTTCATGGCCGGCAATGGCTTCTAGGAACCAAAACCGGGCCAAATGCTTCTCCAGTAGCTGGCCCCGCTAGGGACGGGGGGCGAGGGGGGGGGGTCATTTCTTTCTAAGGATGCCCACGTCATGTCTGAAGCCAATTTCAGTCTCGGACTGTCCGTGGAAAGTTAGGCGACCAACACTTTAGAAGCATATACCAATGCGTTTAGATTGCAAGTCCAGTGAGCCCAGTGGACCAGGGACAGGGAGGTCGGGGTGCGAGGGAGCCAGGGCGAGCCTGGGAAGGAAGGGTAGGTCTACTGAGATGGCTTAAACCCTTTCTCAGACTACTATGGGGACTGACCAAAACGCACGGGCAGGGGACACTTACTTCGTTATCACCCAGCTTCCTGGTTGGCATCAGAGCCCAAGAGATCAACCCGCGCCGGGCAAATATAAAAGGGCTCGCAGTTTCCCTAGCCGTTCTAGGGGCCTAGGTGTAGGCGGTGCAGTGGGGTTCTCCCAAGGACCTCAGAGGAACGTGCCACTGAGGCCTGGTCAGAGATGAGCCGGGGGAAGAGTAGTGGGGGAAGAGTAGTGGGAAAAGGTGGTGGGCAACCAGCCCATGGGAGCCGAGCTGCCAAGGTGTCTGGGAGTTGGAGTTTAGGGCAACCCACAGGGCCAAAGCCCAGGGGACAGAGAGTCTCCAGGGTGACTCGGTGAGCTGTAGCAGGGAAGCCCTTTGGCTTTCTGAGGTCCTAGGTGACCGAGATGAGCGTCTGGTGTGGGCTCTGCTTCCCAGAAGGAGGCTCGTGAGGAGACAGGTTTCAGAGCTGGGCGAGTCCTGGACGAAGGTCTGATGTCAGGTT